ACTAGCACTGGGTGAACTCTTTATCATTAAAAAAAAAAAAAAAGATTCCAGCTGGTTTTATCTTTTGTCTGTGTGTTTCTCAACAATCTGTGATCAGACTTTGAGGTTTCTTAGTTTGTCATTTCCAATTTTTGGACTGCTTCATACCAGCATGTTTCACACTAAGCTCCTTGGCAAGCTGGCTTGCTTTGGCTGCATTTTCAAGACTATAGGTTAGAGATTGATCTTGTAAGTTCACGTGTTACTGCTGCCCGCCTGCAAAATTCTGGAATATTTGATAAGCAGGAGGTTAGGAATTGGGATTCTTCTGTAAGCATTAGTCTGTCAAAGCTGGGTGTCTTGCATCAGAACAAGAAGTATTTGCAAGGATGTTATTTTAGAAGATATTTTTGAAAGCAAATATGCAAATATATATATTTTATATATATATAGTTTTGTCATTATTAGAAGAAATAAACTTCCAGGATGGTGCTCAGCACAGCGGTGAATTCAACTCTCCATGCCCATTTGTGAGATTTACATTTGCAACACCTGGTCACTGTGGTTACCCAACCCCAATTAAGACTCTTAAATTGTCCAAAGAGTGTGAATATGAGTGTGTGTTATGTTTTCCTGAAAAGTTCCATACCGTTAAATAGCATTTCTCATATGTTTTATATTGACCAGATTCAACTGTTAATGAAAGTAATGCATTTTGCATAGAATTTGATTAAAACAAACCTCATTCATCACTGCATGAATTAATTTTTCCCTGAATTACTCTGTTAGTTTGAAAAGAAAGAAATTGACATAAATCCAGAGCAACAATGTTGAATCAGATCTATAAATGTAACACAATTTAGTATGTAATACCTTTATTAAGTACAAAAAATTAGATTACCATGATTTCGTTTTCTAACAGAAGATAATATAATTTATTTATGGTTTCAAGCAGCCATGGCTGTTTAGTTGTTTGTTTGTGTTTTGTTGGTGGTGGTGGTTTTTTTTTGTTTGTTTGTTTTGTTTTGTTTTATTGGATGCAATTGTTGTAGCTTTTCCTTTCCTCTGAGATATAGCCAAGCTCTGTTGGCCTTTAGTTGTAATTGGGATCAATATGTCTCCATTCAGAATTTAATGAGATTCACACCTCTTGAGCTCCAACATGAATCCATCAATTAAAAATTAACTTTATAAACAGCAAGTTGTGAATGAGAAGACCACATCAAATACTATTTGATTTTCTTTTTCCAAGTACAGAAATCAAACGTTTTTGTGAAGATCAGTATGCTTTTGGTTAAACAACATTTATTTACCAAATGGCTAAGGGATCCCATGTGTATTGTGGTAAAAAGCAGCTTTGCAACATTTTCTTTCTTGCAATCTCTTTCACCAGTTTTTCTATAATCAGATAATCAAACTTTGTCTAAATAAAGAAGTTTATATTATGAAATCAGGTTGTACTATGAGACATACATGAAACAATTTATGGTAGATCATTTTTTATTGACATATGCCACAGACTTTTAATTTTCTGTAATTAATAGAAATTATAAAAATGGCTCATGATTATATTAGTCAGACCAAGTAAATTATCTTTAACTTTATTATCAAATGTTGAAGAACATCACAAGCCTTCATGCCTGCCATTTTCTCTCATTTGTGCCGCTGTAGCTCCAGAACAATGGTAAAAGCCAGTGGTGCTTCAATGATACCAAAGAGGGGATAATATGTGATGCTTAGTAATGGCCAATACAGAGCAGAGTAAATATTTTATATTTTGCAGCATACATTATTTTCAGGTGTTCACTGTATATTCTTCAAACATTTGTTCACAGATTATATGCATGTCCTTGTTGGATATAAAGAAATGTTATTAATTCCTTGAATTTTTCACTTTCTTTCCTTTAAATACTTCTAATAATAATAACAACAACAAAAAAACAATGATGTACCTACCCTGTATATCAGATCTGAAGCATAAAGCACTCACTGTGTATTGGTGACTTCAGGTCTTTGATGTTGTGTTAGTTATTATCAGCAAATATTCCCAGTATGCATTGGCTAAGATTAGTCAAAAAGCAGAGTGATACTGTTGGAATTACATGATGGTCCACTGCCTAAATACACGTCAAATACTTGGAAAGCTAGCAGACATCATTTTGATATGCTTTTTATAGAGGTATCACAAGTTTTCATGCTTTCTTTCAAAGAATCAGAAGAAAATTGTGTCCTTCCTATGATCTTACAGTTTCCTGAGACTTAGTGCGTGATGAACAAGGATAGATGGGTATTGTACGGAGCAAATAGAACAAATAAATCCAGGCACTACACAGAGGTTATAAAAGATTGAAGAACATCAAGTGGGCACATGAAAATGGATTGCTGATCTTTGCTATGTTGGGAATGCTTCAGCCCTGGCTTAGGCAGTAGAGCATATTTTTATTTTGTAAGGTTCCCTTTAAGGCTTCAATGTCATGAAGAAATCAGTTTTGTTTAATGACCTTCTGCATTAGCAGTTCTTTGTGCTGGTGACTGAAATTGATTTTGCTCCTTTTGTGATGTGGAGGAGCATGAACCCAGCCTCTGCATCGCTGCTCAAGCAAGTGCTTTAGCCATAACAAAGAACAGGAAGCCATCAGATTTCTGAGCACCAGAAATACCCATGCTGAAACTTATAGGTTCACTGTTGATAAAGACTCAGCTGGTTTTTAATCACTGTGAAGCCCTGCTGGAAACTGCACCTTTGTGCTTATGCACTGCACATGCTTGGTTGATAATTTTCTTTGGTACAGTGACATCATGAAGACCTTCTTTATTTGCCTCAAGCATTTCACAAAAGAGATATCCTCCCTGACATGAGGAATTACAAAACAGTTCAGTAGTCATTTACTTTGCCATATTATTTAGAGTTAGATAAGTGGTATGAAGAAAAAGAAGAGGAGGTGGGTGAATAATAAATATGTCAGGAAAATAAGACTGCAAGGAGCATAAAGGTTGAAAGAGACCTGGAGTGGAGAATAAAATGAGGGATAAATAAGTTCATATGGGAAGGAACAATGAAAGGAACATGAAAGAGAAGGTGAAGAGTGACAAAAATAAGAAACTTAATTGATTATTAACTTTGAAGAAACAAGCTATACAAATGGAAAGAAATTTATGCAAATAATGACTTTAAGACTGTAAATGCTCTCATGTTTTGCAGTGCCTGTTTCACAAATATCCATTAATGTTGACTTTAGAAAATTGGAGAATTTGATTTAAATTTAAATTGGTGGCTGACAAAAATGTGGTCACTGAAGTGAAAACAAAACAAAGCAAAACAATAAAAAAGTATGATCATTGAATTAATGAAGTTTGAATCAGACTCTATTATTCTGGCCATACCAGTTTTCAGACCTGATACGTTAAGAACTGTTTTCCCTTTGAAATAGTCAGTAAATATGGGCAATGATGGGTGGCTCCTGTGCAAGCAAATGAAAGGCTGAAAGTGCAAACTCTCTATCTTCTAAAATAAGATGAGTCCTAGGGACTCATCTCTCTGATCCTGCATAGTTTCTATGTGCACTGACAGGATAACAGAGAAGAGATTTTCTGTTAGTGGAAGGCAAGGAACAGGGATATGTTCCTGACTGGTAGTGTTAGGTGATGGTTGGGCTTGACTCATGGGTCTTTCCCAACCTAAATGATTCTGTGATTCTTTAGCCTAGTACCAGCAATCTTGTAGCCTTCCCTTTCTTCCCCTGAGGACAAGAATAACCTGCAATAACCTGCTTGTTGGCAGTACAGCTTAGGGCTCTATGTGACCATGAAAAGAGAGGAAACTCCAAAAACTGGTTTGGATACACCTACAGCAGATATAAAGTGTAATATCTTAAGAAGTCTGCAGAAAGCTTCTGGTGTTTTATCAAATCAGAAACAGGTCTGAACACCACCTTCTGATCCAAGATTCTGTACTCAACTAGTGAAGTTGAGTACGGAAGGACTGATTTAAAATCTCTTATCTCTAGGATTCACAGTTGTGCTCTTGCATGGCCGGCACACTTCTGGCTCAATTACTGTCTCTTGCATACCCTATTGTTTTTGTTTCCTACAATATCCCACATAGCTTCTTCTCCAAAAATTATGGTCTCCCCAGTATTATTCTGCCTCATTCTGCAAGATATTTTTTCTAGTTCTGTTCTTCCTCTTTCTGCTTGGAAAAGTTTTCCTATCCTAAGGTAGAAGCCATAGAGGCTTTTCTTTTTCCCCCTCCCAGTTTCTGATTTTATTCTTTGGGACACATGGGACGTGTTTTATTAATGACAGTAAATTACTATTGCTAGCTGGTTATTATAATAACGATTACAATATATCAATGTTTTAGAATTTTGTATGTGTATATCATTTCCCATGCTCTTGATATACTAAGATGTATGTTTCTGTAACATATAATGTTTTAGCCAACAAATGCAGGCAATTCATCATTGATGTTATTTAACAGTAATAATGATTCCCCATTGGAAAATGCAAAGCCAGACTTTGAAACTTGATATTTGAAGGAGGATTCAAATGATGAATTTGAAGTTATTCTGGGAAGAGGCATAGAAATAGAGTTTACTTGGAAGGTTGGATTTGTGATGGTTGTCATCCCTGGAACGAACTTTATCCAAAAGTCTATTTCTGTGGATCCCAGCTAATGTTATGAAACAGTGTTGGGAAGATGGCAGGAATTGTTCTTTCTCATATTGATAAATGGATGAGAGGAACTTGTTTACAGGAAGGAGTAGCAAAAGTATAGGATATGCTTTTCATCTTAAAATCAGTGAATCATGGGAGAACATCTTGATGTGTTTAAAACAATTCAGTTTCCACAACTTGTTCTCTTAATGCTGGAATTATTGTGTTTTTACGGAAGCACCAAGGCACACTACTTTCCAAATATTTTATTTTGGCCTTAAATGAACAATGTTTCTTTAAATTGTGGTAATCCAGGTTCTTCTCTTACGTTTTTCTCTTTGTATTTTCACCTTTCTCTTATCCAGGAAACAATGTATCGCTCACATAGAAGAAGCAATACTGCTCTGAAGGAACACGGAAAAGTTCTTTGACCTGGAGGTTACCACAGCTGCTTCATTATGGGAAAACTGAGAAGCTACACTGATTTACCATCTGCCATGTTTTAGCCACAAACTGTAGTGAAAGTTGGCCTTGTGAGCCAAACTGATGTGTGGTTTGAGATTTTGTTTGTTTGTTTTTCTTAGGATCTAAGCATTTGCATTTTAAAGAAAAATCTTTGTTAAGTACAGACCTGTCTTTATGGGTCAGCTTATGTGGGCATGTAATATCTTCAGCCTCGTATGGTCTTGAGGATCCCTAAACAATGCTTTGATCTGAGTTAGGATGCTGAGTAATTCTGAGGACACGTTACTTGAGGTGCTGGCTATGAAATGAAATTTTAAAAGGGTAAGTAGGAATTGAGGAGGCACTTGGAACATCAAAACACTGTGTCGTACTACACTAGATTGATTATTGTAACCATATGAATAGGCCACACCGAATTTAATTTTTGGATAAGTTATTCACATGCATACATGCTTTTCCTGAAATAGGTGTTTTTGTGCACACTGGTTGGTAATATTACATGTCGTTGCAAAATGTTTTTGTAAGTACATTTATGTAAGTAAAAGTACATTTATGCACCTATGTCCCCTGCTATTCATAACTGAATACCTATTTGTGAAGGCAGGGAGATGTGGACACTTGTGCGTAAGCGGTTGTATGGATATGTACATTCCTTTTTTAACTAAAGCTTGCACACAGCACTGTTGAAGGCAATACTCAGGTTGACCTGAGTGGGAGTAGCTATGGGTACTGCTCTCCAAAACACTCCCTTACAGTGTAATGCACTTTCAGTGTTGATAACCATTTTATGACTTTTTTTTTTTTTTTAATGTTGAGCTAGCTGCTAGAATGTGCTGGTCTTTACAAAGCTTTGTCTCCCAGTAATAGCAGATATTCTTTGAAAGGAGGCAGAAGGATATAAACTGTGGAATCCCAAATCAGATTAATGTAATGTGCATTTCTAGATTATGATTAGTAACAAGATGACACGTTGGCATGGTAACACTTGAAGCTTAACTACAAGTTCTTAAAATAAAGCAATGACATATGTGTAGGTTTCTCTCCATGTGCATCCCCTCCACCTGAAAACATGTATCATTTCCACAACTCTCAGGCAATTAAACCCTACTTCTTACTTTTGAATTAAGTGCAGAACTAAAACATCATGTCTCTTTCCTAGTAGTTATGCATAATCTCCCACCATGAGTTATAAATTTTGGTAATGAACCTTCGCATTTTGTGACATCTTAGGCTTTCTGCCATTCAGTTTCATTTTAAAATGATTAGTGTAAGGAATATGCATCATTCCTTGAGGTTTTTACCACATCGATCTTTAAATTCTGCCACTTTCTAATATGAAAATCATCTTACCAATATTGGAAAATCCTGTTTATTATTTAAATTGATAGACCAGTGGGTGCATTTCATGTGGCTGAGGATTGGCAATTAAAATCCCAACTTTACCTGAAATTGCTGTAATAAAGCGGTAAAGTTTTTAATGTGAGATTATCAGCTGAGGCTGAGAGCCTAGCTATTATTTTCTGGTTGCCTTATGGTGGAAAGTGCTGTCTAGTTGCCATAGAGTCTGTTCAGTTTCCTTTCACTAAGCAGGAGCTAACTTGTTTAGATGTACTGTCTATGGCAAATGTGCCAGGCGCTGCTTTACATGTGTCATTGTTTTGTGTTAAACTTTCTCAGAATGCAAAATGGGGCACTTTGTTCGGATTGCTTTATATGCACAATATTGCTTTGACCAATTCCTTACAGGCAGAGAATTGAGATGCTGCTAAGTTCTAACTAAGTAAATACAGCCTTCTTCTGTCACCCTATGTGGACAAAATGGGCAGTATTACATGAGGACTTATTTGGCAGTTCATTTATTCCCATATACTGTACTGTATAGAGCATCACAAGATATTGAAAATGCAGCTTACAGTATTTCCACAGCTCCTTATGCAACCTTGAGAGCCTGAATTCTGTTCTTCACACCAATATGTATGGCATATGCTGGGAGTACAGTGATTGACTCCTGCACGATAATCACGTTACATTCAGAATAATACAATTGCCAGGAAATATTTCACATACACACTTCAGTTCCCAAGTTAAACCTTATGCTAAGGCATGGCTGATGTTTGTCCTTGTAGACTTTTAAAAAGTGGAAGCCCTGATCTGTGCTTCACAAATCTACCTGCATTTCTAACTTGCAGATGAAGGATTTCAGTATTTGAATTTTCCATGGTTGTGGGGTGGAGGGAGGGACATGTGCATGCTGGGTTTTGCCACTAATCCTTCGGAAATCCTTTAGTGCCTTAAGGAGGCAGAGGGGAAACAGACATGAGGATTACAGAAATTTGCTCAAACCTCTTTCCTGCTTCAGCAGAGTTCCTTTAAAATATATTGTGCCTTTGGCTCCAAACATATTTGCATTAGAAATCAGTAGCTATGGGATTATGGACAGGAATTTTTGTCCCTGTTAGGAAAGAAAGTACACAGTTTCTTATGTAGGATGTGAATTAAAAATACATCTGACAAGTTCTACGTTGGCATCCATGCACAAACCATTATTTGACATTGACTTGCAAGTTGAAGGTAAAGCCAAAAAAAAAAAAAAAGAAAGAGGAAGTTTAAATGTATTAGATGAAACACTTGTACCACTGAAGTGTCCAGCAAATTTCTACTGGGAAAATTTCTCCCTGGGACCAAGATTTCATGCTGTCTTCTACTTGGCTAAATAAGTGCTCACATTTGATAGGCACTAAAGCATCACACTCTGTTTAATGTTTTCTATATGCATAGGAGTGGAAAAGAGTAGTTGTGGAGACCTACCTGTATTTGGCATTGTTGGTATCTGTGGTATAAATCTCTGTTCACTGTTATTTCTTTATGTAACAGACTCTTGCTATTGGTATATGAATGTAAATTCCAATATATGGGAGGTTACTGTGCAGTGTGCACCAACCGATGCTGAATATCTGCATTTCTCCACTCTCTGAATTTTGGTTTTGTCCTCTATAAAATGAAGAAAAATGTAATTAACAGGACAAAACCACTTTTTGCATAAAAACCAATACATAAAAAGCCTGTGTGAGGCAATTCATGTACTCACTGATGGTCCTAAGCGGATCTTAAGAAAAAATGAATAAGCTTTTAGCACAGGGGGGGAATTTTGTCTTCTAGGAATTAGGAGTAATTTGATGGTACAGAGCTACCAAAAAAGAAAAAGAAGGAAAAAAAAAAAAAAAGGAAATTGGAAAAAAAGGAAAAGTAGAAAAAAATGCGGGCCTGAGAATCAGAGAGTTCAAAGTGGTGATTCTCTATCTTGCTCCCTGTGATGACAAACAAGTCTTAAGGAATATGTAAATAGTTCAAAGAAAATCACTACAGGGCTCACAGTACGTCAGACAAGACACAGCATGGAACAGATTTTTATAGCTTGTTTATAAATTAGGCTTCTGTCTTTTGTTTGGAATTTAGAAAAAGAAACCATGTAAATTAAATAAGGAGTAAAGATTCACTACTCACATTGGACTGAAACAAAGATATTTCCCCACCTCCTGAGGTATTAATGAGAAATCTGGGATGAATGGAGATCTTGCCTTTTGAGCATTATTGCTGTGCAGATATTTAACTCTTCTGCACAGCCACCAGTGTGATGGTAACCAGATATCATGAAGAGAAGTTGTTAGGAACGCAAACTGGGTTCCTTCCTTGAAGAGGTGCCAAAGGATGCACAAAAAGGCTGGGGTTTACAGCTTGATACTTGCTAAACAGATGTACCAACTTAGGTGTGTTTTTTTCAGGGGGGCGGGGTTGTAAATAAATACAAAAAGTTTAAACTTTTTGGTGTCAAAGTGGAGAAGCTAACTGAGAAGTTTCAGTAACATTAAAGGGGCCTCTCTTGCTTTGATCTGTTCCAGTAAAACCTTACAGATAACTTTTCAGCAAAGATTTCCACTCTAAGACATATGTCATGGGTATGAACTGTATATATGTATTAATTTTCAGTGTAACTAGGGGGCATACAGGATTGTAATGAAGTCACAAAGTCTACTTGATGATTATCACAGATTTGTAACTCTCACTTAAATTATGTAAGATATGTTGACATTTTATCTTGTTAACAAGATGTATTTTTCTATGTTAGTTAAATGTATAATTTGTATAATTTTGTATATTAAATGTATGCATATTTTAAATTAAAAACTTTATAATTTTAATTATTTTTAAATCTAAAATGGTGATGGAACTTCTGAAATATAGTTGTAAATGCAGCTGTATCCTGGCACAGAAACCTAGAAAATCTCCATTTTGAGGAAAGGCCAGCAACCACCAGCTATTTGGTCTGCTAACGGGGTAAGAAAGCCCAGGCTCTCACTCTGCTTCACAGAGAAGCTGCCATTCAGCTTTTGGTGACTTAGCAGAATTAATGTGATTTAACAGAATGCTATTGACTGGATCACTCACTCAGGAAGTGGGAAACCTGAAGCTTCACCAGCTTGTGGAGTTTTGGATCCATGGTTCCTACATGTAAAGGGGCTGTCCAATTCACCAAAGCATAAGATGGGATTCTGTAGGGGAAGGAATACATGGCAGCTAGAAATACAGCAGTCATGTGGAGCAGAGAGAGGGAGTCTCGATGACTCAACTCTCTCCTCTGGGAGAAAGAAATCTTGGGTTTCTCTCACTCCTTCAGGGCATCTCCTTCCTCCCTTCTTCCCTTCCTCCCTTCCTCCCTTCCTTTCTTTTCTGTTCTAAAATATACAACAGCAAAGAGGTGCAAAATGTATATCGCATGTTCTCTTCTGCCCCTGCTCAAGAAGTCCTTGAGACTTGAAAGTCTTGTTCCAGCTCCTGGCATTCACAATGCAGAAGGAAAAGTTCCAGCTGCAACTGCAAAGTCCATAAACTTGGACTCTGAAGGTTTTTGTTGAGTGAAGCAAGCATGTCTCCAGGTCTTCTGCTGCCTCTCATCTAACCTATTTGCAATATAATTTATTTTCCATTGATGCTATGCTATGTCAATATAAAGATTAAAGGTCCTATAGGAAGAGGATGCACTTGCAGTCAAATTCTGTCCTATTTTCACCAAGTTATGCCAAGACAGGGTGAGATGCAGTGTCTGCAGGAAAATATAACAAAACACTGTATTTCTCCAAAATTGCAAACATATTTTTAGGTAAACTCACAGGGTGACAGGGTATCAGGCTGTAACTGGGTCTTCTTCTGGAGCAGATTAAACTACAACTTCATTTCTTAGTGAACAGAAGAACAGTACACATCTGTTCATTTAGAACACGTTTCAATAAACTAATGTCTATAGTATGAAGAAAAAATAATTTAAAAGCAAAGAAAGTCTGATATGATTTTATGTTTATTTATATCCTGAAAGTTTAATACTGTTTTCTAAAACATTGATTCAATGTGTTCTGAGTCTTGTGGTCTCCTTATGCATTAGCATTAAGATGAATGTGCTAGCTTAATACTAAAAAATATATTATTTTTCTTTGCTATTAAAAAAACGAACAATTTTAGAACCCTGAGCAATGTTAGCTAACTAGAACCCACATGTAAGTATAGTCTGTCTTTCTTTCCTTTGTGGTTGTTAAACAAAAGGTGCTCTTCAGCTCTGAGTCACTGAGCAGACGCATGCATCACATACCACATATCTGACCTACTGTGGGACCATCAGAAACATTTATTTCTGGAGCTTAGAATTCATCACTTGATTAGAAGGATAGACTTCATAAAATGAATTATGTTCCCATCGCTTAGGAAGACATGAAGGTCATGCATCATGTTATGTCTACCACCTTCATATTTCAGTAACTGTGGGGGTCTGGTCCTGTGGAGGAGCAAGTGGACTTTTTGTTTGTTTTATTTCTCCCCAACATGATAAATAAATCTCAATGTTACCATTAAGAGCAAAAAAAAAAATGAAGATTTGCCTACATACTAGAGAATTATTTAAGGAAGCATCAAAGAAATGCCCTAAAATCTATACATTTATTTATTTTTTCACACGGCAATGAAATCTCCATACGATATGACTGCATTAATGATGTAGCAAGGCTTATTAAGCGAACCGTGGAACCCTGCGCATCCATGCTCAGAAACACCAGCAGTGATGCTGCACCTACTCAGACTCGGAGCGCTAATAACCATAACTTTTGCCCGGTTCCCTGACACCCTCATGCAAACCACCTGGTGTTCCACGGCATCCAAGCCAGGAGAAGCAGCAGAGCAGGATGCTTGCCCAGGTGCGTTACATCGCTGCTTGGTGCATTCTTTGGGCCCGTGGGCAGCTGTTACCGACCCATCTGGCCACCCGGGTCTGCTGCCGATGGCACCCCGATGAATCCCCGGGGACCTCCAGCCCCTCCAACTCCTCCACCGCTTGCATCTGCCGCCTGCAGGCCCGCCGGGTGCTGAAGGGACAGCTCCGCGGGGGCGCGCCCGCGCTCCCGGGGCTCCATTGGGAGGGGTAGAGGGGGACGATGTTCCGCGGGGGCGCGCCCGGCGGTGGCAGCGAGGCTCCGCGCCGCGGGACCGCGCAGCGCGGCCGGGGGCTGCAGGGCGGAGCGGGGCCCCCCCAGCCCCTCCCCGGGCACCGCCGCAGCCTCCTCCTGCTCCTGCGGAGAGAGGGAGGAAGGAAGGGAGGGAGGGAGGGAGGCGGGGAGTGTGCAAAGTGGGAGAAACTGCCCCCCCAGCCGGCCTGCAGAGATTTCAGATTTTTTTTTCCTCTTTTTTTTTTTTTTTTTTCCTCGTTCGCACCGCACGGGGGGGGTGCACGCAGCGGGCTCCCTCCTCCCCTTCCCTTTCCTTCCCTCCCGCCGCCCCCCCCCGGCTCGCTCTTTATACCGGGGGAGCGTGTGCACTGCGGTCCTTGCTCGGGGAATTGCTGCTGCGCTTCCTATTCGTCAAGGGCTTTCCAATCACCTGCCTCTGCCACCCTCTCCTCTCCTCTCTTTGTACTTTATTTTCACGTGCTCTTTACTAACACGGCTATTTTTAAATACCGCTTGGATTTATTTCTTTCTCTCTCTCTTTTTTAATTTTTCTTCCTTTTTTTTTTTTTTTTTTTTCCTAATTCTTTTGGAAGGGGTGGATGGGGGGAGGGAGGTTACCGTTTGCATCTCCCTGAGGGAAAGATCCCACCAGCCAACCCAGCTCCGCCACTGCTGCATCCATCCATTCATTTTTATGGTCACCAGCAGCCTATCCCGGTAGTAGAAGGTGCCGAGAAGTGGGAGGCAGAGAGAGAAGAGAGCGAGGGAGGGAGGGAGAGCTCCGGACAGCGAGAATGGCCGAGAGAAAGAGGAACTGGAATAAAGAAGATGACCTGCCCGTCTATCTGGCTAGGCCGGGCACGACAGCCCAGACACCGCGGCAGAAATACGGGGGGATGTTCGCCTCCGTGGAGGGGGCCTACGAGAACAAAACCATCGACTTCGACGCCTACAGCGTGGGGAAGAAGGGGTCCCGGACCCCTCGCAGCGGCAGCCGGCACGACATGCTGGACGGGGGGGACAACTACAGCGAGACGGCCAGCGACGTCAGCGAGGTCTCCGGCTCGGTCATCAGCTCCCCGGGGGAACGGGAGGACAAGACCCCCGGCGTGGAGATCCGCTACCCCGCGGGGAAGGAGCTGCTGCAGGGCCACGACAACGGGCAGGTGAGCGGGGAGACCCCCGAGCCGGGGAGGATGGTGGGGGGGCGTGCCGCAGAGCCCGGGCAAGGGGATAAGGGGGGGCCGGGGTCTCGTTGCCGGGGGTCTTTCGGCTCGGAAGGTCGGGGCTGTGCCCCCCTGTCCTGGCCCGTGAACTGTCTCACTTGCCTGAGCTTTCAGGGAGCGTCTGTGGGGGCACGCAGCAGAAATCATTTTCCTTTGTAAGTGATGGCGATGAGTTTTCCTTCCTGCCGGCTAAACGCCGCACACGCCGGCTGGGCGGAGGAGGGGGCTGGAGGGCAGCACCGCCCCCCTTGGCCCCCCTTTTACCCCTGTGTGTGTTCCCCCATCCACCCCCGGCCCCGCAGCCCGGGCCGGACGGGGAGAGCTGCGGAACAAAGCGGCCCGGCACGGCTCGGCACGGCTCGGCCCCGCCGCACTTTTGGGCTGGTCGGGAAAACTCCGCCGAGGCTGTCCCAGTGGGAGCCCCTGGCTCTGCCCCGACCCCCTGCTGGAGCCCCGGCAGCTTTCATTGTCTGCCGGGCGAGGAGAATGTGTAGGGCGGGAGCATCGCCC